TGAAGGAAGAGTAATTCCTACCGTTGGCATACCATCTAGGTCTTTTTCCTCCTTTTAATGATATCAGAATTGGTTTTTAATTTAGCTTACATTTGTATGTATTCCAATTCAGATCTCAAACCTGATTCTTATTACTAAAGAAATAAATGTTTCATGTCTGCTTTTTGGTTTTGGCTTATAGGTGAAACAGTCTACATTATTGCCTATTCCTCCTGCATAGTTCTCATCCTAGGAATAGTCCTGTTGACTCTCCTAAAGATCAGGTAATTTGATAGGAATATTAATTTTTGGTTCTAGGAAACTGAAAAAGCAGAAAATAAAATAAACTGTTTCAACGTAGTTAAGAGGTTGGCACTGCGATTTTCTTTAGAAACAGTCCAGCACATCCCAGAGAGGGAGACAGCCGACATTGCAGGTGTCAGCAGGAAGAAGTGAAATATGATGCGTATCTACAATGCCCTCCATTCATACAGAGATCCTGGGCTTCAGAAGGTTTCATTTCCTGTCCCATGGCAGAGGAAGGTCAAATCTGAATGCACAATTCTGGGAGGTTGCCTTCTTAGCCCTGTAGCAGGCAGGGGCAATGTAGAAAGGAAATGAAACTATTCAGCATTACAGCATACTTAGAAATCGAACCATGAACACTGCTATTGTAGTTAATATTGTTGCCAAATACTATTATTGCTGATAGGATTCTGTAAACATGCCCACACACGCAGTATGAAAAGCTGCTCATTCAACAGTCCTCGGTAAGAAAACAGAAATCTGCGTTCACTTAGTCAGATGAACATGGTCTTTTCTTAAATGATACATTTTCTTGGACCAAATTAAATGGCCAGATTTCAAGAATTACACTGTCAGATGATAGGTAACAGAACATGATGTAGCAGGAGCTATATATAGTGGGAGGGATATTGAGTCAAATTTCATTATTAAATTCAGAGGCAGATCAAAGAGGAATCATGCAGAAAAATGCAAAAGGCAAGTCAAGGATATATGGGAACAGAGGCTTTCTCCTTAGGTTTGCAGTTACAGGAATATCAGCATATAAATAAAACTCAGATTTAAAGAATAAAGCGGATGGAAGAAAGAACAGCACATTAATAATGGTGCAGGGAATTATTTTATACCACAGTGTTCATCATAAATAGAGGGGAATTTTGCCACTGATTTCAATTAAGCCAAAGTTCAACCAAAAGCTGTATAGTTTATTGTTAAATACATGCACATTCTTTGTTTTCAGAGCCTGCAGAACAAAATATGAGTCAAGAAGTCCCTCGCCAGACCATTCTTCTGAAACATTTATGGTCCATTATAAAAGTCACAGATGAACTACTCTGTTGCCTATGCTTTTTAAGGCTATTCTTGAAAGCCAGCCTGTTGTACATATGCGATAATAAAATATATATCAGAAAACCTACTATAAGTTATAGAATTTTGTAGCTGAGCATACAAAAGAGTTTTATATTTATTAACACATATTAAACCTTTCACAAGCTAAAAAAAACCCAGAATTGTATTCTTTTTCATTTGTGTAGATTCACAGATCTGTCCTGAGCTGTACATTTACTTTGTCTTTAGATTTACACAATGGTATAAATACTGTATCAGCATGAATACAGCCTTGCAACATGCCTAGGAGTGGCAAAATTTGAAACCCACCGTTCTGATCTGAACTCATCTGGTGGAAAGGAAAAGATTCTGCTCAGAAACATTTTGGAGAATTTTTTAAAAAAAACCTACATCTTTGGTAGTTTTGTACATTAGGTTCCCTTAATACAGGGAGACCAAACACCTAGTGAGATATTTCTGCGGAAGCACTCACAGGTACGTTGTCTGTAGTATGATGGTAGAGCACTTTCTGGAATAGGAAGAGATCAGAATAATAATCCCTTTCAGTATGAAGAGGAATTAAACTCTGTCTGGTCCAATGCTTTGACCACTATGTTATTGTTGGAAAGGGAAACCATTATCATCACCGGATATTCTTTATCCTCCAGTACGTTTCAATAAAGCAAAGGATGAGCGTTGCTACTTTGAAAATGATAATTTTAGAAAACATTTTGGGATCTGAATCCCCAATGGACAGAGCCACTTGTTTGGGGCCTTATATAAAGTGCCTATTTCTCTAGAAAGAGAGAAGTTAAGACCCATTTCATCATCTGTGTTTCCTATTCATTGTCTCTAGGCAACACCCACAGTGCCTAATTGCACATACCATGCACTGTACCGGGAGTCATGGTCCCTAACATACCACTCTGGATCCCACTTTGTGGCTTTGAATTCTGTATTCCACTCTGTAGCTAAGCTTTTATTTACTATTGACTGGTTGGCTTTGTTATATCTTTGTGACGATCTTTTTCTGGGCAGCACAGAATAATGGATTGGCATTTCTTCTATTACTAAGTTACCAGAAGTAGCATATGCATTATCTTGTTATGATAACATGTGATGAATTAATTTGATTTTGAATTTGATTAATTTCAATTTTGTGCGAATCTCCACTAAATGCAATACACATACATCAAGAATGAAATACTGGATCCACTGAATTCAGTTCCGGGTTTGACCATGGTTGACTCAGATCTAGGGCTAGATATTCAAAATTTCTGACATGATCACAAGAGCAGGAAATACTACTCTTTAAATAGATTTTTGTTTCTGGCTTTGATATCTTGTGAAACAATTTACTGTAACAGCAAAACCTTAGGTGTGCAATCCTACTATGGAAAATTGTAGAGATTTTAACAATTATTATACCATACCTTTCCTCTTTCCTCGGGACATGCATAAAACCAAAAGTTCTTTCTTGTTTGCAATTAAATGCTATCTTATTACTGAAACAGCATTTGTACAGAAATACAACAGAAACAAACAATGGAAAATTGCATAGTTTGCTAATCAAAAAAATCTCCTATATCAGCCCAGCAATTAGCAACATTTAGTATGTCTCTCACCATGTGGGTATTCTGTGACTTAATAGAAATTAATATTCTTAACCTTCAAACCGTAAATAGGAAAACTTATGAAAATACTGTTGAGAATACATTCTCAGTATTGAATAAAAATGTGTCTTTATCACAGACAATTCACATATGAAACAAACTCTTTGCTGGTTTTCAGTCTAACTGGAAAAACCAATGATGCAATGCTGAACAATGGGTTGTGAAATTTGCAGAAGTACTTTTATATTCAGATTTAAATAGACCTCTTTTTCAGCTAAAAGAACCATAAAACTATTCTTGTAACTTTTTACCTTAAAACTTTCATTTTCTAATAGTTTTATGTTTTGATGTTAGGAACATTTTTCATATGTGTACGTATACACACACGCACACGCACATACACACACACACATGTTAAATGTATTTGAAACTGCAGGTAGGTGTGTGACTTATTATGAAAAAATAGAAAAATATTTAGCGGATGTTGTATTACTTTTGTAATTTTATGGGATCTCTTAATTAAGGATGACTTTAATGCTTAATGAAGAAGCATATTTCCTCCGCAATATATGTAAAATGCATCTATATCACAGTTCTTTTGATTTATATTTTAGAGTGATACTGTACTTTGTCAGTTGCAACCAGCCGCTAATTATTAAATAAAGGAATTTCTGCTGTGATGATCTGTATTCAGGTGACTTAAAAATTAGTTAGAATCTAAATTCTAACTGCCTCTTGAACAAAGAATAAGGAACGCTACGCAATGCATACCACTAGCTACATAAGTCCGGTTATAATTCAGTCAATAATATTTTCTGAAGAGCAAGATCCCCCAGTTTGGCTATTTTAGTCTGGCCTCCCAGATACCTTAAGAAACACCTAACAATATCCTATGCCATGCAAAGCAATATCAGCCATGAGTGACATCATAAGTGATCTCTTTTAAACAGCCTCACCATTAAAATCTTTTCCTATGAAGTGAGACATTTGCACCTAATTCCCAGCTGAGGAGAATTAAGGTCACATTGATGTCACTGGGAGAAGGACTTGGGATTCCCAAGATATAAGTCATTTTGAGTAAGGACACTGCCTGCCTCCCTTCCATTGGAGCTGGGACACTGCACAGTGAATAAATGAATGATTGGTCTAGAGGGGGAAAGCATGAATCTTAATCTTATAACACTCTTATTTGAAAGGGGGGATACTGGGTTCCAGCGTTTGCTTTCGAGATTGTTTATACAGTTTACCTAAGGATTTTTTCATATTACATGAAATGTAAACAGCTTTGGGGACAAACACACAGGACTATCTGTTCCTTATGCAGTATCCAAGCTACAAAGCTGTAAAGTCAAGTCTCCACTTCTCTTGTCTTGCCCCAGTGAATCTTGAATTCTTCAAAAGGAGGATTTCCCCCAACCATCTCATCCGTTTGTGAGGTGAGAGAACACACGTCTTGGAAAGAAACATGGACTCAGCCTTTTCAGGCTGTGGAGGGAATTTACACCCTGGCATCTGGTAACAGATGACAGATCAAGCCACTAATACAGAAGATGGACCATCTCCATCCCCAAGATGATGCCCTAAAAGAAGGAACACCATTCAGTTCTTTCAAAAATAACTATGAGTGCCACTCCATCAGAGAAAACTTCTAGCCATTGTATTCAAACTGGAGAAGACAACCAAATGCAGCTCAGGTTGAGGCACTTCAACATTAGCATGGGGTGGGGAATTTTACTATTCACTTTCCCAAGACACTTCCCTGATCAACATGCTCTTTCAGACCACATACTGAAGTAATTCAGTCTCCCATGAAGTGTGTAGAGGTCTTGGACACCACTTACAGGGCACAGATTTCTACTTTGCAGTGGAACATCGAAAGTCAGATAACGCCTCATTGAATTTTCACATTCCCAACTCCATTATTTGATGTAGCTTTTAATGTCTAGTTAATGGAGGGAAGAAGCATGTTTCCCTAGTTACTTAGAAGAGACGTGTCAGCTCTAAAAGCACACAGGAACAACTGATAAAAAGGTAATCCTAAGAAAATGCACTCAGAATGGATTACAAGGTAACAAAGTCAACACAGGCGTACAGGTCAGAGTGACAGCTTATATTTACTAATGCCATTTGTGTGAGCTGGTTAGTCAGAGCTGCTGAATCTGGTGTATTACAGGAGCATATCAATTTCAATAAACACTGAGATACATTTTATTTCGTCTTTAACATCACACATTGCAAATCACAAATGTATTTAACCAAGAGGGTAGATGACAATTTCTTAACAAATATATCATTTGACATCTGATTCGAAGGACTAAGTTGATTTTGGCTTTAGTCCTTCTGCCAGCTGTGATATTGTAGCAATGAAGACGAACACTACACTAGAGGAGGACTGCAGAGAAAAACAATCTTCAGAAATACAACATGACAAAAGAAAAGCATCTATCAGCAAGTCAAGAACTGGAAAGCAAGTGTCTTTCAGTCAGTTCTCCAGACTGATTTTTCTATTTATTCAGTTCTCTAGATGTTTCAGGTACCTACCCCAACATAAATTAATTATTCTGATATTGTTATATGAATAAGACAAATACAATTTTTTTTTAAAGAGAACTTAAGGCAGTTTGAAAAATCTTGCAAAAATCGAGTGGCTGAGAATCCTCATTTTCAGATATTTTACATAGTAAGCAAACAATATTTCTGCCCCTTAAAAATAACTCTGTGAAAATAACAGGCAGATCTTACACATTCCCACTCACTCTTTCGACAAGTGTTACTCCTTTTCAACAGCACTGATCCCAAGCATAGGAATTTACCTCACAGATTTGCAGTCTTCACTCAGTGAGTCCTTGTTACAATAATAAAAGTTTTATGAACTCAAATCACGCTATTAAGAAAGGAAAATTAGCCACAGCCTCTCTGGACTTATTCATAACACCAGAATATTCACTTCTTATTCCCATAAACCCTGGTTATACATGAAAATGAAATGTTAAAGTGATGGTCCAGAGCCAAGTTGCCCTAATATAAAAATTTTAACTACAAAGCAAGCTGCTGCTGGAAGACATTAGTGCTATCTATGTAAAGGATCCATGTCACTGCTGTCTTGCGAAAGGCACTGAAGAACAATTATGCCATCATTATGAATACCAACTTTTCCTCCAGAAAAAGCACACCAACCATATGCCTTTTGGAAATTATAATTATAGTATCTTGCCCAGCCAAAGAAGCCAGTTTTTGACCTGCTAACCATTGCCAACAGCGTGGGAAAGAACTATTGTGAAAATATTGGAGAAAGTTCCAGTTTTACATGACAGTGGTCCACTGTTGTGGATGCTTCACAGGTTCAGACCAGGGCACAGACTAAAGTCTGCTCAGGGAACACCAGTTTACATTCTCCAAGGCCACGGCATAAGCAAAAAAGATCTCCATGCTGTTCTGTTAGACCCCTACAGTGACTTTGATACAGTGAGCTACAGTCTTCAAAGTACTGAAGTAAATATCTTCTTGAATCTAATCACTGCTCTCTAATTAAAGACTCACAGAAGGCAAATGATAACTACTCTTTCTCTTCTCTGCAAATTCTCGGAGTGTATGGTATCCCCTTTTCATCATTTCTATGGGACCAACAGCAAAAAGAGAGTTGCTGGCATCACGTCCCCACATTCCCATAGTGTAATCATGACATTCAGCTGGATGCACCTGGATGAAGTCTTTTGGAAACAGAGAAAATTAAAACTCACCTTCAGGGTGAGGTAATAACAATGTACTCACTGGGGGACACTGATAGGGACTAAATGAACAGGAATCACTGACTGTGGGTCACTCTGAAGATAAATATAAAGATTTCAATGGTCAGAAGCACTGGAGAGCAGCAGCACCATCATATCGCTTATTGTTTTGACCATGCTTTTGAACAGATGTAGTCTCAACTGCTTTAACCTGTGCTTAGCTCACTGCTGCCTATGTGTACAACGCATGCTCACAACATAACTACCGGATTAGCCCCTGGGTTAAAGGGCAATATATGTCTATTTTGTGAAGCCAAAGATTAGGTGTTAAAATACTCAGTATAGACAAAACAATATCACCTCAGGAAGGCAGAGCAGTAGAATTTTATGTGCCTAACAAACTTTAGTAGTGAGAACATGAAACATCTAACGATTCTCAGCCACATTATAAGTAAAGAAGGATTTTGTGGGGAGTGCTCACCTGGACCTGCAGACCTAAATGCATCCCAGGTGGCACTTTTGGCACATAAACATTTTTTTTGAATCTAGCTCTATGTTTCTTACTCCTTTATAATGATCTTGACAAACTATCTGTGACCTCCACCCTGGATTACTGTGACTCGCTATGTGGTTGAAGCTGAATGTGAGGGGAAAAGGATGGGATCCAGATGTGACTGCTCATCTTTTCCACTGCTCACATCATTATGGAATAATAGAATTGAACTTAAGTCACTTCACAAGCTCCCAAGTAGTTTCTAGAATAGACTCAATAAAAAACTGAGGCATTTTAAGATGTTCATCCTGAAGATGAAGTAGGCACCCTGTTTCAGTGCATATGGAGAGTCAATACCCTTAGAATGGTAAACTGGATAGCCCAGATACTGAAAAGCCTATCATATAATATTCACAGAGATACATCTGAAAACTTCTCCAGAGTTTAAGGGTCTCCTAGATCCAAAGTCAGGAATCCTTCATGGTAGATTAAGACACAGACATCTAGAATTCCTCTCAAAGAACTGAGCAGACTTAATTCTTTTATTCCAAAGCAAAAGTTGGGTGGTAGTGCAATGTTCGCTTTTACTGAAGATGTTGTAGTTAGAATACTAACTAAAAAAGTGGACAATATCAAATCAGTTCACCGCCATCTTCCAGGACAAAACCCTTATCTGTTACAGAGATGCTTTTTCTCATGATTTTTCTGGTCTGAGGAATTTTTTATTCTGTCCTGCACAGTGGCACAACCTCATCCAGATTTACTAAAAAGTGAGATTTTTTTTTCAGTTCTGTATATAGCTTAGTGGTTAGATCTATTAATTTTGATAAGAAAAAATGCATATGTGAACCCCTTCAGGCTGAGTGGTGAGCCGGTCTCAGATCTTCAATTGTTTAGTCTACCAGTCAGGCTAATATTTACAAGATGGGCTGCACCAAAATTACTTTTTTTTAAGAAGTAGTTTCACTTAACATTGCGTGAGAAGCTCAGTCTTGCTCATATGGGTTAAATACGCTCACAGTATTTTGGATGGAAGAACTCTCATCAGGCCTTACCTGTGCAGTCAATGCTTCAGCTCAGAATGAACTAATTCTTTGCAAACTAAAGACAAAATTGTATTATTAAACAGAAGCGTTATAGTGTGGTTAGGAACCTTCATGGGAAAATGGCATTTGAATTAGGGTGTCTTTAGATGTCAAGTCTGGCATCTCAGTTAGGCTTAACTACTAATTACTGGACTAAGTACTGCATAAGTACTGCTGTGGGTTCCTTACTTTATCAGATTTAATACATTACAGAATTTTCAAGTCTATGGATGGTTCAAGACCCAGTTATATTAAAGTTCACATTTGATATAAGGGCCATAGTGACTGCTAAATCACAAAGTTGCAGTTAAATCATGGGAAAATGAAGGTGGAGCATTTTCTGTGGGGATCTAGCTATGCATTCAGAGCAGATCAAGTGAATTAGTGTTTCCATGTTTTTAAGAGACCTTGTAAGTCTTCTTACTACATGCCACCAGAACGGGTGCAATTTAGTATTTGGGAATGATAGACAAGATCTTCCTGCCTCACCTAAGCAGGATTTCTTTGCTCATTCTTTAACTGTGACCCCAAGAAGGGTGAAACAACATAGTTTATATTGGTTTTCACCATCATCACAGCATAAACAGGGATTGTATTAAATTTCTAGCTTTAAGTCATGTGGCATGCCAAGTCTGACTGTGTTAGGCTGTGCCAATTCTAAGGTACAATACTCGCTAAAAGATCTCAGAAAAGGTTCACTTGGGAATTTCAAAGCCAAACTAAGACTCAGCTGTAACTCGGCAGAGCTGAGTTCCAGACAACTGTGATTCATCCTTTTCCTTCTTTACAGGTTATCTTTCACTTTCTTTCATCTTACCTTTTTCCAGCCTTTCATATTTCAGAGGAAAATGAAGCATCCTAAAAAAGATCATAGTCTGGGGTTTTTGTATTTCCATGTTAACAGATTATTTTCAGAAGAATATAGATCAAGCTTAAGCACACAGAGAATTACTAAAGGATACTGCACAAACAGTCAGTAAGAGTACTGATATTTCAGGCTGAAAAATGAAAGTATTTTCATGAAGAATTTGAACAGTTTATAAACACAATCAGACTCTTCTTCGAATTTGTCCATTATTGATCTACAAATGACAATGCACTTCACTATCATCCAGCTGAACATTTAAAAGTACAAAATCTCTACCACAAGAGCACAGAGAAAAACTGGAGGCGCCTCTCTCTGCATAAGCTAGTCCAGGAGAGTATTACCATCCTCAAAAATTCGCAATTTATGAGAAGTGAGAAGGTCAATTTATAGATTACAAAATGAAAAGGCAAAACCTTTGATAAGATTTTGGACAAAAATCTAGTTCATTCTATACTACTACCATGCTGAATGATGGCTGAAAATCTTGCCAATTTTTAGTTGCTTCATATAACTAGGTTTTAACACAGTTGATGAAAAAAGCAACTACAACAAATTTAACATATGTAACAAATAAGGAAACTTGCATTAGATTTGGCAGATCTGGCAGGCTGCCATTCACCACAAAGTCCTGGAATGAGGTAAAGTCATCCATATATTTAACAGATGTTAAGTAAAATAAAAATATAAAAGTGCTATCGCTAAAAATTTCTTATGGTGAATTCAGATTTGGCTCCAGGTTCATAACATGACTGACTTGACAAATGAGAAGTATAGGTCCAGATAAATAAAACACACAATAGAAGGCCACACACAACGTGAGATCTCATAAACTACTGCAAATATTTGTACTGTTCTAAAGTCATCTTGATAAAAATTAACTATGTATTCTCTGCTTCTAACCAATTTTTCTAAATAGGACTTACGTTTACTTTAAATACATGGTAAAGTGTCCTGGTGTGTATACCGTTTCTCATTTGTAGAAGTACCAAGCATATGGTTCTGTACTGCAGTCATTTATTTCTTACTTGCAAATCAGACAACGCTTGACAAGACACTAGAGTACAGCAAGCCTTCCCATAATAAGAAGTTACATCTGGCTTCTATTTGGTTCTCTACTGAAATGGTTTTCTTGAATTTGGTTTCTTCATATAAATGTCCTTGGTCAAGGTATATGACAAACGAAATTCATTTACAAAAATATTTAATTTAATTGATAGTTCCAGTTTTGAAGGAAGCTTGTGCAACCTTTGAGTTTGTTTTCTTGTTCAAAGCTGTACAGATGAAATTCCCAGCTTCCATCACTGTGTAAAGATTTACTCCCTAAAAAACAGAGGTGAAAAATGTTAATAATAAGAAATACACATACTGAAAATGCTTAAACTGCATGTTGTCTGCCTCCAGATTCTAATTTTTGCAAACAAAGGGTCAGATACATAGCACAGGGAAATTACGGAGATCAGTAGAGTTATACTGGCTTACACAATAATCAGTTTCCTATTGTTTGAAGGGTTCTGCCATTCTGATGGTGATTCCTTGTCCTAATAGCAGTGTGTGGAATACTCTAGTGATATATTTCAAATGCAGAAGGAACTGGTATAGACAATTGGAATAACAACCAGAAGAAATCAGAAGAAAAGTGCAGTATTGAAAGACGTACTGTACTTATTTATTAATGAAAACTATGAAATTTCATGCTTATAAGTAAAGTATCTCATTCACACCTTAGGAGAATGGAGGAGACTTACACTTGAATTGGCAACTGACATCAGTGAGAAATGGGATCCTGCGTTCTCTTAAAAATATATAATCTTCTTCTTGAAGAAATTCTTATTTAATTCTTTCAATTTAAAATTACAATTTACATTACTAACACAACTGAGCAAAAAATTGCAGCTGATTGATCTGTCCTTGTTAGAATGATGTTCCTTGAGCAATCAACTGTTTTTTTAAATAACATAAGACATTGGTACCTCTTGATTGCTGAAGTGCAATCAGATCACTTTATCCACTTCATCCACTGATCAAGGAGGAAAAAATACTTTATTATTAGTCTCCTGACCTATTCATATAGAGTTAAAGTTTTAGAGTTAGATTACAAAAATGATATAAGTACTTGCTCCAAAGACTGGGATTTAGAAGCCAGTAAAGTTC